TTTGTGGGTGTCATTTGCTTGGAGTATCATTTTTCACCTTTTCACTTTGTGTCTTACTTGATCTTGCAGCTTAGATGTGTATCCTGAAAGCAGCACATGGTGGGTTTTGTTTTTTGATCCAGTTGGCTACTCTGTGCCTTTTAAATGCAATCCCCATAAAATCCCAATGTTATTTTTTAAAGAAATAGAATAAAAAAAAACATCAGATTTGTATGAAACTATGAAAGACCCCAAATAGCCAAAGCAACCCTGGGAAAAAAGAACAAAGCCAGAGGTATCACACTCCTAGACTTCAAATTATATACTAAAGTGATGATAATCAAAACATCATGGTATTGGGGGGAAAAAACAGATACACAGACCAAAGGAACAGAATTGAGAGACCAGAAATAAACCCACATACATGTGGGCAAATAATTTTTGACAAAGAAGCCAAAAACTTACAATAGGTTAAAGAAAGCCTCTTTAATAAATGGTGCTTGGAAAACTGGAAAGCCACATGCGAAAGAATAAAAGTAGACTGCTCTCTGTCACCATCCACAAAAATCAACTCAAAATGGATCAAAGACCAAAATATAAAACCTGGAATAATAAAATACATAGAAGAAAATGTATGGACCTTGGTCTTAAGAGAGGGTTTTACGAATTTGACCTCAAAGGCAAAGGATGATAAAGCAAGCAAAAACAAATGAATTAAGCTACAGTGAACTAAAAAGCTTCTGCACAGAAAAAGAAACATCATCAAAAAAAGGGGCAAACAACTGAATGGGAGAGATATTTGCAAACAACACCTCTGATAAGGAGTTAATATGCAAAATGTATAAAGAACTCATATAACTCCAAAACAATAAAAACCAAACAATCCAATTAAAAAAATGGGCAGAAAACCAGAACAGACAATCCTTCCAAGAAGACACGGCCAACAGGTACATGATAAGATGCTCAACTTCTTTAGCTATTAAGGAAATACAAATCAAAACTCCGATGAGATGCCACCTCATACCTGTTAGAGTGGCTACTGTCAACAAGACAGATAATAACAAGTGTTGGAGACACTGTGGAAAAAAGGAACCTTCATTCAGTGCTGGTGGGAATGTAAACTGGTACAGCCACTATGAAAAGCAGTATGGAGGTTCCTCAAAAAATTAAGAATTGAGCTATCATATGACCCAGCAATGCCTCTTCTGGGTATCTGCCTGAAAAATTTTAAAACATTTATTTGTAAAGATATATTTACTCCTATGTTCATTGCAGCATTATTCACAGTGGCCAAGATGTGAATACAACCAAAGTGTCCTTCGATAGATGATTGGATAAAGAAGATGTGATACTCCTATACAACAGAATAATCCATCATTTCAGCCATAAGAAAAGATGAATTATTGCTATTTGCAACAACATGGATGGATTTGGGGAATATTATGCTAAGCAAAATAAGTCAGACAGAAAAAGTCAATAACCATATGATTTCACTCATATGTGGGATATAAAACAGAAAACAACAAATGAATGAACAAGAACTCATAGACACAGACAACAGTATGGTGGTTACCAGAGGGGAGGAAGGACTTGGGGGAGGTAGAATAGGGTAAAGGGGGTCAAATATGTGGTGACAAAAAGAGACTTGACTTTGGGTGGTGAACTAAGTCAAGTCTAGGGTAATGCAATATACAGATGATCTATTATAGAAGGGTACACTTGAAACTTATTTAATTTAATTAACCAATGTCACTCTAATAAATTTAATAAAATTAAAAAAGGAAAAGCTGGACTTCCGCCAAGATGGAGGTGTAGGTGGAACCACCTTGCTTCCGTGCACAACCAAATCTAAGAACAACTATTTTTAACAACAATAAACACAACCAAGCCACACAGAAAATTGACAATACAGAGTCCAAAGACAATGAAATGCTCAGCTAAACCGGTAAGAGGAGCGAAGCCAGCAGCGGAGCAGGTTGGCAAAAAAAAATCCCCGAACCTGGTGGTGTGCAAGCAGCCGAAAGCGCAGATCACAGGATAGCTATGGGAGCACACAGGGAAGAGGTGCGGCTGGCTGTCTGCGGTCGGTCCCGCATCTCCGTGCAGATAAACCAGTAAAGAGGGGAGCAGGCGCGGGGCAGCAGGCTCGCACAATTCCCGATCGGATAAACAGGCCCGCACTGGGCCTGTCACTGGTGACACTGGACGGACTGGGCTAGTGGAGAGGACTGCCATTGCTCCCTCTCTGACCACGCCCCCACACACAGCCTCACAAACCAGAGACCTGGGTGGCCCCGTCCTGGTAAACAACTAAGGCTTCCCTCCGCTTACTTAACGGCGCAAACAGACCAAAAATGGCTCAAGAACAACTCAGAGCCCCAGAGCCGATCAATCTAAGCGATGAAGAAATAGCCAATCTTTCAGATGCACAGTTCAAAACACTGGTTATCAGGATCCTCACAGAACTGGTTGATTTTAGTCACAAATTAGAGAAACATATGGAAGCTAAACTAATTGAAATGAATGGTAATACAAACGAAACCAATAGTAATGGAAAGGAGATTGGGACTCAAATCAATGGAGTGGACCAGAAGGAAGAAAAAAATGATCAAACAGAAAAGAATGAAGAAACAAGAATTCAAAAAAATGAGGAGAAGCTTAGGAACCTCCAGGACATCTTTAAACGTTCCAACATTCGAATTATAGGGGTACCAGAAGGGGAAGAGTCACGAGTGGAAACCTTATTTGAACAAATAATAAAAGAGAACTTCCCCATTCTGGCAGAGGAAATAGACTTCCAGGAAGTCCAGGAAGCTCAGAGAGTCCCAAAGAAGTTGGACCCAAGAAGAAACACACCAAGGCACATCATCATTACATTAGCCAAGATTAAAATGAAGGAGAGAATCCTAGAAGCAGCAAGAGATAAGAGGACAGTCACCTACAAAGGAGTTCCCATCAGACTGTCAGCTGATTTCTCAAAAGAGACCTTACAGGCAAGAAGGGGCTGGAAAGAGGTATTCCAAGTCATGAAAACCAAAGACCTACATCCAAGATTGCTCTATCCAGCAAAGTTTTCATTTAGAATGGAAGGACAGATAAAGTGCTTCTCAGATAAGACCAAATTCAAGGAGTTCATCATCACCAAGCCCTTATTATATGAAATGTTAAAGGGATTTACCTAAGAAAAAGAAGATAAAAAAGATGAACAGTGAAAGGACAGCAAACTCACAGTTAGTAACAATCACACCTAAAACAAAAGCAAACTAAGAGGACAGCTAGATCAGGAGCAGAACCATAGAAATGAAGATCTCATGGAGGGTTAGCAATGGGAGTGGGAGAAAGAGAAGGGGGGAGAAGGTACAGAAAATAAGTAGCATAGACAGTAGATAGCAAGTAGATAGGGGGAAGGGTAAGAATAGTATGGGAAATATATATTCTAAAGAACTTGAGACACATGTTCATGAACTAAAGGGGGGAAATGGAGGGGGAGGGGTGTGCAGGGTGGAGGGGAACGGAGGGGGGAATAGAACAAATGTAATGGCATAATCAATAAAAAAAGTTTAAAAAATAAAATAAAAAAGGAAAAGTTTTGTGCCATGAAAATTTTTTATGTAACAACGACCCCCTCCCTTGCCACCCGGGGCGGTGGAGAAGATGAGGGGTGAGGCGGTGGTGAGGGCCAGAAGGAGCGTGTGCATGGGGCTGAGCACAGCTGCAGCAGCCACAGGAAGAGCAGAAAAACACATGTCCTCCTGGGCCACCCTTAACCTTCCGTACATCCATGACCTTGGAACATGTTCAGTAAATAAAACTAACAAAAACAATGTGTATTTGGCTTTCTAACCCCAAAATCTGTGCCCAAATTAGCTTACTGAAGCCCAGGTAATCCTTGAGAACCACAGCTCGTATTCCTACTTCTCAGAGATTCTAGAGAGGTGATAAATACACCTACGCTTGGGTGCCATTAGGGCTGGAGAAATGGAGGGGAGGCAGGCGAGAATGGAATAGTTATCAGGTCTGCACAGTGTTGTTGATTCTCCAAAAGAATGATCTTAGGAGAGATCATCTGACGGGATCCTGGGAGGACTCCCTGAAGACAGATGTCAAGACTATCCCTTTTTTTTTGATAAGGAAGCTGAGACTTGCAGACATTTAGCACCGTTTAATTTTCTGACTTTGGGTGGGGTTGGTGGTTCAGTGTCTGTCCCCTTGGCTGGACTGTAAACGATCTGGCCTGAGGGCAGGGTCTCTCACTATCACACACTGCTGCCCCTGAGGATTTAAAGCAGTGCCTCACACAGAGATGGACTGGGTGCTTGGTGAGCAGCTGAAATTGAACACAGGCGTCAAGCCAAACTCGTGAAACCATATCGTCTGCCTTCCAGGTTTGTCCTTGACAAATATTTTTCCTGAGAGCCTAAATTATTTTCAGTATCATTTTTATCATTTCTCATTTGTTATTTTCAGCTCCAGAGCATTTCAGGATATTATTTTTATTTATCTGCTTCTCTTGTTTCTCCTACTTTTAAACTGATGCTGGGAATGGAAATTATACTTGGGTTTCAGTTCTAGGATAGGGGTAGGATGACAGGGTATTTTTTCTTGTGTAAGAATTGTTTGTACTGTTATAAAGAATACAGCATTTTAGAGGAAAAGAGCTTCCAGGAGTGAATCCCTATTATTCTTTGCCTGTTATAATTTACCAGAACAAAAATGCTTCTCTTTATGGTAGCATACAACCACCAACAGTCCTAAAATATAGGTTTAGAAAAAACCTAGTTAATGCCTTTTGCCTTAGCTTCCTCATGTCCTGGATGTTACCACTGGTCTTTCAGGGTTCGAACATCCCACCAGGACCCAGGGGCCCATTCAAAGTTAAGCTGCCCTTTGAGTGGGCAACATTTAACTGACCAAGTCACATAAGAACGGCCACACTGCAAGTTAGATGCACATAACCCTCTACCTGTGGAATTTCTATTTCACGTTGTCCCTCACCATATCAACAAAGAGTCCGCACTTACATATCATCGAAGACAAGTTTCTGCCTCTTGCAGTCCCGGTGGCCATTGGAGCCGGGAGACCATGGCTCTGTCTGCAGCCGCGACTTGTGCAGAACATTTTCCGAATTGTGGTGAGCTGCTTTCTAAACAACAAACAACATACCAGTTTTTGAGAAACTGGCCACTTGGCTGAAAGAGCAACCTATTGCACAGAATATCCTGTGTTCTGTACTCTGTATTAGAATCAGTGGTGCTTTATGATTAAATAAAGAAAAAGGAATATGTGCATTGTAGGTCTCAAGATGAGGACTTTCCTATACAGGGGTGGGCAAAAGTAGGTTTACAGCTGCTTGTATGGAAAGTAATACAATAATTAATAAATAATAATACAAGAAAAAAACTCTGTGTTTTGTGTACTCACAACTGTAAACATACTTTTGCTCCACCCTGTGTGTTGTCCAGTGTCATTCTCATAACGGTATCAAAAGAGAAGGCTTAGTATGGCCATACCTCAGATCCAGACACTGAGGTTTGGTGAGGGTAAGTAACTTGTCCAAGCTCAAACAGCTACTGTGGGTGGAAGCCCAGGGGTTAGCACTCGGGTCCCTACTTTTCTCAGTTGGCTAGACCAGTGGTTCTCTAAGCTGACTCTGTATGAGAACCGTTCAGGGGCTTGTTACCACAGATGGCGGGGCACCACCTCCACAGTCTCCCATTCAGTCTGGGGTAGAGCCTGAGAACATGCGTTTCCAACAAGCTCCAGGTGAGGCTGGTCCAGGGACTGAGCGTGCAGAACAACCGAGCCGTATCTACAGTCCCTTACACAAGAGAAGTTGTTCAGGTGAAAAACTGACTAGCCCTCATTCTCTGTCTGTTAAGATTAGAAAAAGCCAGAGGGAAATACTAGAAATTATTTAAAACAGGTTTGAAAAAGGAACACTATTGATCTGTGGAAAAATTTTAAAAGTCTAACTCTTGGGGATACAAATATTTACAAAGCATCCATTGCATGTAACACATGGATCAGAAAATAACTGTCTTTGGCCATGAAGTTCAAATCAATTCCTCTGAAGTAATTAAAATAGAATGTATACAAATGCATCTTTAAACATGGGCTGATTTTATGCGTAAATCAAGCCTCTTTGTTAAAAGAGCCTCTTGTTCTCTGTGCACTTCCGTAAGTGGCTCTCCTCAGCTAGACGGGAGGTTTCAGGCAGGTGGGGACTGAACCTGTGAGATCATCACTGTATCCCTGTTGCTTGGCACAGTATCTGGCACATGGTAGGTACTTGCTCAATGACCATCTAGTGAACGAATGACTAAATAATGTCTTTTCTAAAACAATTTTCTGCACACCACACAATTTTTTTTTTGCTTATGATATAAGAATCTAGGGGCAAGGAGTTTTGTTTTTAAATCTGAATTGGTAGCTTTTTATTTTAGGTTTTTCTAACATGGTTTTCTCAGATTCTTGTGGCTTAGAATTAAAGATAATTGTTTCCAAATAACAGTGCATAAGGGTATTAATTTCCTGATGATGCAATAAAATGTAGGCTCTTGCTACACCTTCTACTGCCTTTTTTGTCTTGTTAAGTCATGGGTTAAAGCATTAAGAACTGCCTCGCTCCATCTCATTTGGCAGTCACATTCTCATGTGACACTCACGAGACATTCTCATGTCTCGTCTTTCCCAGCCTCACAGAGCCCTGCTGGTTTAATAGGCACAGCGACCTGAGAAAATGCAGTGGAGAGATTTGGAATGAAATAATGTACCCTGGAGGATGCCTGGTCCAGGGCCACAAGCTGGCAGAGTGGGGCAGTAAAGGGGAACTAACCTGTAGTGTGAGTTGCACAGGTATCCACATGTGTCCGGTTCTTTAGATAACATCATCTCATTTAAATCTTATGACACCACTTTGCAAATGAAATTAGGCTCAGAGAGATGAAGTATGTGACCCAAGGTCATGTGGCCACTAAGACATGAGGGTAGACAAACTGTGGGCCCCAACTCCCTGCCCTTCCCCAGGGGAGTGTAGGGTGCTAGAATCACCCCTGAGCAGGTCACTGCAAAAGCAGTGGTGGCAGGGGTCCCACACTGTGGCTGCTACACTGGTCACTCAGTGTTGAAGTGGGAATCCCAACATTTTGGCCTGGGGTTTCCATTCCAAGTTTAGCTCAGTCCTGGGTCAAGGAATTTTTTCAACTGGAAAGGTGAGTTGGTCCCAAACTCTCAATTTACTTTGTCCTGCAATAATATTACTTTGGGGCAATTTCATTTCAGAATGGGACATTCCCAGGGCAGCCTTAGGGATCCTTTCTGGGACCTCAAGAATATTTCCAGACTGTGCTGGGCTACATACAGGTAGAATGCAGGGCTGTGCTCTGCTTCATTTTCATTTTAATCAGGGCAGGAAGAGTATCAACATACCGCGAGGTCTCCAGCATGAGACTGCAGCTGGTTATCAGCCTTAAGCTTTTTGTTGGAGGTGGTGGATGCGAACAGACCACTGCCATTGGACCTGCTGGAAGACGTCAAGTCCTCACTGGAGTATTTGTGTTTAGAGGCGTCGGAGAGGGGTGAGATGGGCGACCGGAGCAATTTTTCATTTTTATTTATGGGTATTGCCAAGCTGAAAAGGAAAATCACAGTAATGGAATGTCACAGAGCCGGCACAGGGGGAGGTAAACGTTTTATATATGACCCTACCCTCCTGTTTAACACCTGCTGGGAGGAAGACATTTACAGGGAATTATTACCCCAGGAAACAATTTTATGGCATTAGGACAGTAACAAATAATAAGCAAATTTCACTCATTGTTTCTTTACGTGTCCTACAGGATGAAGAGTAATTCTGGAGTTAAATAACTAAGAACAGTAAGACCTTCATTTTCCAAGTTTTTTCATCCAAGGATCTCAAAATACACAACATTTTTCCCCCTGTTTTCCTAGTAAGTGTAAACAGCAAGTAATGAGAAAGTCACTCAAATGATATATGTGTTCCTTAGATCTTTTTAAAAAAATTCTCACCTGAGGATATAGTTATTGATTTTAGAGAGAAAATAAAGGAGAGAGAAACATCAGTTTCTTGGCTCCCATACACACACACATGACCTGATCAGGGTCTGAACCCATAACCCAGGTATGTGCCCTGACAGAGACTCAAACCTGTGACTTTTTGGTGTATGGGATCATGCGCCAATCGACTGATCCACCAAGACAGGGCAGTGTTCCCTACCCCTAAAAGGACTTTTGATAACACCTGAGCTTACACTAATTATTACATGGAGAATAACAGAATCTCAGAATAACCTACAAAGCAAGAAGCAACTTTCCATTGTTAGGTTTAAGAGCTAATGAGGCACTGATAAGAATAAACACAGAACAGAAAGCTCATCAGAAGTTACACTTTCTGATTCCTAGCTCCTTATTTCCTTTACAACTATTGTTTGTAACTCCCCTGACCCCCAAATTAATTATCAGAGAATGGAGTTATTTATATCTGAGTTTTTGCTATGTATATTATATTGATAGGACTTTCTCTGTTACTTAACTTTGAGAAAAAATTGGGAAGAGGCACATTAGCCTGGAAGAAACTGAATCATTCTTAATTTGGGAAGCTCGTAGAAACTACCTGATAGAGTCAGTTAAAAAAAAGTAAATCCACTTAACAAAGATTTAGTCATCATTCCTGTAGTTATGATGTCTTAATTGTATGTGCTGGCTATCACTGCAAATAAGCCATTAAAGTCACTTCAAAAAGCAATTTCCTTAGTTGGTGGTGACAGTGTAGAAATTACAAACACAGGCCCTGAATGATAGAGCCAAGGTTCTAGAGATTATGCAAATAGACATGTTTAGGGATAGAATTTGTGTTGATAGATTTCTTTTTAAAAATATATATTTTATTGATTATGTTATTACAGTTGTCCCAATTTTTTTCAGTCCTTTATTCCCCTCCGCCCTGTACTACCCCTCCCACCAGCACTCCTCGACCTTAGTTCATCTCCATTGGTTGTACATATAAATGCTTTGGCTTCTCTATTTCCCATACTATTCTTAACCTCCCCCTGTCTATTTTGTGCCTACAATTTATGCTTTTTATTCCCTGTACCTTTTCCCCCATTCTCCCCATACCCCTCCCTGCTGATGACCCTCCATGTGATCTCTACTTCTGTGAATCTGTTTCTCTTCTAGTTGTTTGCATAGTTCATTTTCGTTTTTGTTCCTTAGGTTCAGTTGTTGATAGCCATGAGTTTGTTGTCATTTTACTGTTTGTATTTTTGATCTTCTTTTTCTTAAATAAGTCCCTTTAACATTTCATACAATAAAGTCTTGATGATGATGAACTCCTTTAACTTAACCTTATCTGGGAAGCACTTTATCTGCTCTTCCATTCTAAATGATAACTTTGCTGGATAGAGTAACCTTGGATATGTCTTCGCCTTCCATGACTTTGAATATTTCCTTCCAGCCCTTTCTTGCCTATAAGGTTTCTTTGGAAAAACCAGCTGATAGTCTTATGGGAACTCCTGTGTAGGTAACTGTTTCCTTGTCTCTTGCTGCTTTTAAGATTCTCTCCCAATCTTTCATCTTGGGTAATGTAATTATGATGTGTCTTGGTGTGTGCTTCCTTAGATCCAACTTCTTTGGGACTCTCTGAGCTTCCTGGACTTCCTGGAAGTCTATTTCCTTCACCAGATTAAGGAAGTTCTCTTTCATTATGTTTTCATACAAGTTTTCAATTTCTTGCTTTTCCTCTTCTCCTTCTGGCACCCCTATGATTTGGATGTTGGAACATTTAAAGTTGTCCTGGAGGATCCTAAACTTCTCCTCATTTTTTTTGAATTCTTGTTTCTTCATTCTGTTCTGGTTGAATGTTTATTTCTTCCTCCTACTCTAAACTGTTGATTAGAGTCCTGGTTTCCTTCCTGTCACTATTGGTTCCCTGTATATTTTCCTTTATTTCACTTTGCATAGCCTTCACTTTTTCCTCTATTTTGCAACCATACTCAACCATTTCTCTGAGCATCCTGATTACCAGTGTTTTAAATTTTGCATCTGGTAGGTTGACTATCTCTTCATCTCTTAGTTGTATTTTTTCTAGAGGTTTGATCTGTTCTTTAATTTGGGCCTTATTTTTTGTCTTGGCAAACCTATTTATGTAGTAAGAGGTAGAGCCTTAGGTATTTGCCAGGGCAGAGCAACCCATGCGGCTGGGTTGTGGCACTGTATGTGGGGGAGGGGTCTGAGGGGAAACAATGTGGCTTGCTCAACTCTCCAGCAGCTTGCAGTCACTCCCTCTGCTACCCACAATCAAATTGGGCCCTTCTGGTGCTGATTCCTGGATGGGTTGGTTTGTGTAGGTTCTAGGACCCTGTGCGTCTCTCCAACAAACTCTCCTGTGAGGCTGGGGGTTTCTCCTGCTGCCTCAATTGCCACAGGTTTTTTCAGTCAGAGGTTTTAAGGCTTCATTTCCCCATGCTTGAACCCTGGATTGTGTGGTCTGTCTTGCTCCCCAGTTGTTCCTCCTGGTTTATCTGCATGCAAATGTGGGACTGCGTGCTCCATCAGCCACCGTCTTGCTGAGAGTCCTCTTTACCCTAGCTCCCCCTTTTCACTCCTCCTACTGGTCTGAGTGACTGTTTCTTCTTTAACTCCTTGTGGTTGGACTTTCATACAGAGTTCATTTTTCTGGCAGTTCTGGTTATTTTTTTGTTTTCAAATTTGTTGTTGTCCTTCTTTTGGTTGTGTGAGGAGGCAAAAGTATACCTACCTATGGCTCCATCTTGACCAGAAGTCTGTAGTAATAGATTTCTGGTTCAAAAAGCAATGGATAGCTAACAATTTAGAAGTGAGAAGATGCATTCTAGAAAACTGCCTTGGGCCAATCAAAGTGACTCAACTAGTGATGATGAAGGCACTGATGCTCAAGATGATTATGAATAGTCTGAATATTACTATTTCTTGACACATGAATGAAAAAGTCCTATTTCTAAGTCTCTCTCTCTCTCTCTCTATATATATATATATATATATATGATTTTAAATGCCATGCAAAACTAAATTATTATTAAATGATGTTTTGGACATATGATTATTTCTTCTTCATCATTATAATTTTATATAGTCAAGTTGACCAAAGAAAGTTTCTTTGGATCTCCTTTCTGGGATGGGTGATCACTTTATATAGGGGGTTTCCTCATCACGCCACATGGGTATAACTTGATAACAGTCATCACAAATACGGAATTACATAGACAATTTTTCCTAGAAAGTATTCAAAACACTTTCATAAGCACTGTTGCATTATTTGACATGAAACCACCAGAGTGAGCAGGCTCTGCCAGGCAAAAACTCTCCTGCAAGAGCTTCTGTATCTTGGGTTCCGTGAACTTGAATGGAAAAAGTCACATCCTCATTTTCATTAATCTCTCACTGAACTTGAGCATCTTGGATACTATTTATAATCATCATTGCTTAGAAATCACGGTAGTTACTACATCTGTTAGAAAGGTTGCTTAAAGCTAATGCAAAAAGAAGCATATGTATAACTATATTGCACATTTGAAAGACTATTTGGAACCATATTTCCCCCATTCACATTTTTCCAATATTTTGGAATACTGTCCACTTGGCACACAGTTTGTGAACAAGGTCAGCTTGCATGTGTGGCTCTCCCTGCTGCCTGGACCTGCAGGATCTCTGGCCTTCCTTCCCAAGGTGACTCTACCACTGCAGTGGGCCTGGCTCCTGTGCCCTTGTCTCCAGTTTCCTCTCTGAGTTTAGTGCTGCTCTATGTCTTTTCCTAACCTTTCAGTTTACATTTTTATGTGTTGTGCTGAAGCATTAATCTCCCCTTAAAAATTCTATGTACACAGTCAGGGAGAATGAGTGTCTTAGAGGAAAAGCGGTTTCCGAGCTGTGGTATTCTAAATGGAAAGAGCTTCTATGACTGATAAGAAGCTAGTAGCTTATGATAAATATCCGGGACCTTGCCGTGTTAGAAAGACATTTGTCACACAGGGGATTCAGTACAATGTGGGTCCATCTGGAACTCCTTCAGAGGAGTTACCTGGAGGCCATTTAACCTTGTAGACACGGATCCTATCTAATGCCACAATTTTAGTCTTTATCTAAGAGCTCCAGGTGTCTCAGATGAAGATTCTGCTCAAAGTTTATATTTCTCTATCTGTGTAATAAGCTTAGTGTTCTAGGAGCTCAGGAGCTATTAAAACAATGGATTAAAAATTCAGTTATTAAGTTCTCAGAGGGAAAGTGTGTCTCTGAGTGCAGAACTGTGTGGAACTAGTAACTGGTCTTTTGTTACAAGGAACTACTCACTCGCCCACACCTGGAGCTGTGACAGGAGGCACACACCCAGGCATGATTATCAGCCTCGGGTGAAACGAAGCAAAGTAAGTCTGGAGACCCAGACCAGAGCAGTCATGAAAAATCTGGCTCTTCTTTCCTATGACACATGACTTTCAGACCCAGAGATCCCTCTAGCTCACTCTGCCTTTGAGGAAGCACACATACCTGTTGATGTTCATGTTGCAATGATTAGCAGACAAAGTATTATTGACAGAGGCAGTCAGTCGTGAAGCGCTCTCTTTCTCTCCCTGGGCCTTCTTAATCTCCCTGTAGTCATCTTCGTTGTCAAACTGCATGGAAATAAGCAAAAACCAATGAATTCTGGATTTTAAGGGATTGTAATGAGCTCCTATCACCAACTTCCACCAAGCAAGGCCTCTGGGAGAGCAGCCTACTCAGGCCCTCTGGAAAGCATCTGGAGCAGCAATGGGAATGCAGCCTCCTTGGCTCTGGTCTAGGCTCCCAACAGCTCCTCAACAAGTAAGAATGAAATCTTCCAGTTTCTCTACTGACAGTGCAGTGAGAGGAAACGCACAGCGTTGTGATACACATTCAGGGCAAAATGTTACCGCCAACAGACCCGATGCAGCCCTCCAAAGATGCCCTGTTCCAAATTCACACTGCAGCTTCAACGTCTCTCATCCTGGCATTCCTGATATGCAAATCAACAGCCCATTCTGAGTAATGCCATGATAGCAGTGGCAAGCTTGAATCTTTCTTTTGAAATTCATGGTTTTATGAATTTCAAGCAAGGGTTGTTACCTCTTGGTGCCTTAATTCCAGTTCACAATGACTATTTCATGACATCTCAGAATCCTTAAAGTACCTTTTTATAAAATAGCACTTTGATTAATTTTTTCCCCGTGATTATGTTTAACTTTAGACGTGTTTTAAGGTGTAATGCAAGTGCACTCTGCAAAGTTCCATTTTTCGTTGGATAGCAGGATCACAGTAATGGCATATTTGGGGCTTTGACAGAGTTTTCCAGAAGACAAGCATCAGAACCAAAGATGGAAAGACTTTGACTTTCTCTCTAGCTGGGATTGTCACACAGCCTCTCTCACAAGGCTCCCAAAGGCTCCCAATAAAATCGTATCCCCTAAGGGGTCCAAACCAAACTCTGAATCCCAGGCCTGGGCTCCAGGGCTCCAGCAGAGTGAGACTTTGCACTTTCAGCAGCCAGATCTAGAGGTCCCATTTCCTGCACCCCACACTGGGGGCCTTAAACCTCAGATACTGAGTAAAGAACACTAAGAAAATGTTCCTTCACTTTTCTGTGTTTAATAATGACTCTTTAGATTTTTGTGAGCTGGGTGTCAGGCTTGGCATAAATGAAGTCTCAGAAGTTAAAATTTAAAAAGGCCATAAATAATAAAGTTATTTAAACACAGAACATTGTGGAATTTATATATATGTCTTTTGCACATCTAAGTATGCCTATATAGCTATCCATATTTCCAAACTATGTTTTTCAACTCGTCTCTGTATGTTTCTTATATATCTATGCACCTCTTCTCTCTCTCTCTCTCTCTGTTCTTTGTCTCTTTCTTTCCATTAGCCCAACCATGTATCCATCAATCCCCAAGGGATTGACTGACTGATTCATTCATCAATTAATTAACCACCTAGGGATGAATAGTCAAATCAATCCAAAAGTAATGAGAAGGGCAGGATATCTAGTGGAAAACATGAAGAAAGATGAGTAGGGAAGAAATGAGCTAACCCATATTACTGGATTATATTGTTTGACCTTGACAATGCCCTTGCCAAGGTGTCATCATTTTACAAAGAAAGTGAGAGTTCAGATCCCCCAGAAGGCCAGGGAGGACTATATAATTTGCTGGTTCAGCACAAAATGAAACTATTGGGGCCCTTGTTTTAAAAGCAGGAAAAGATCCTTGCCTTGGAGACTATTTTTTTTTTTGTATTTGACACCAAAAGCAAAGGTAAGTAAAACAAAAATAAGCAAGTGGGACTACATCAAACTGAAGAGCTTCTGCACAGCTAAGGAAACTATCAACAAAATGAAAAAAAAAGTTGCAAGTCATATATCTGATAAAGAGCTAATAACCAAAACATAAAAACTCACAGAATTCAATAGCGAAAACCCCCCAAACAATCTGGTTAAAAATTGGCAGAGGAGCTGAACAGACATTTCTCCAGAGAAAGACATACAGATGGCCAACAGGTACACGAAAAGGTGTTCAACATCTCTAATTGTCAGAGAAATGAAAATCAAAACCACAGTGAGTTATCACCTCACACCTGTCATAATGGCTATTATGAAAAAGACAGGAAATAACAAGTGTTGACGAGAATGTGAAGAAAAGGGAACATCCTATACCGTTCATGGCAATGTAAATTGGTAGAGCCACCATGAAAAACAGTATGAAGGTTCCTAAAAAATTAGAAATAGAACTGCCATATAATCTTGCAATTCCACTTCTGGGTATTTAGCTAAAGAAAATGAAAATACTAACTTGAAAAGATAGTATGTACCCCATGTTCACTGCAGCCTTATTTCCAACAGCCAAGATATGGAAACAACCTACATACCTATCAATGCATGAATGGATCAAGAAAATTATATAGCACACACACATATATACAAACAACAGAATATTACTCAGCCATAAAAAATAAAAATCTTGCCATTTGCAACAACATGGATGGACCATGAAGGCATTATGTTAAGTGAAATAAGTCTGACAAGAAAACATAAATACTGTATGATCTCACTTATATGTGGAATCTAAAAACAAAACAAAATAAAAAAAACTAAACCCCAAGCTTATCGATATAGAGAACAGATTGGCAGTTGTCTAGGAGTTTGAGGGGTTTGGGGGAGAGTGGGAAAAATGGGTGAAGGAGATCAAACCATACAAACTTCCAGGTACATAAGTCCTGGTAAGTAATGTACAGCATGGGGACTACAGTTGATAATACTGTGTTGCATATTTGAAAGTAGATGGGACAATAGATCTTGAAAATTCTCACCAGGAGAAATAAAATTTGTAATTATGTATGATGATGCATGTTAACTGGATTTATTGTGGTGACCACTTTGCAATATATACAAATATAGAATCACTACACTGTACACCAGAAACTAATATAATGTTAATTATACTACAATTTTTTTTAAAAAGCAGGAAGAAAAACATGTAAAGTACTAAAGTAGAAAACATTTCCTCTCTGTCAAAGTCTCTCTCTTGGTCTTCCATGGTGGTATTTACTTGGTATTTTATACTGTGCTCCTTGAAGGGTTGGCACACTTGGGGGAGTGAGTGTAGACTCTCAAGTGCCCGGGAATCCTGTCCTGCGGACTGGGTGCATGTGTGGCCCACCACAGAGGGTTTCCACTGCCTGCCATTTGTGGGACCCACCTGCCGAGGGGTAGGGAGGTCCAGTTAGGCATTTCCCCTTTCCAGAGCCCAACCCCAACCCAAGGCAAACATGCAACCCTTAGGGGATTGCAGTCTACTCTCCTGGACTACTTAGTACCTGGACCGTGGTTGCACAAGATGCCTGACCTGACCTGACCCTCACTGTGCCTGCCCCTTGTCCCGAGGCTTCAGGGAAGCAGCCCCATCCCTGGAAGGGCCAGGAGTGCAAAGGGGCAAAGGGCAGGCAGAATCTGTCTTAGGGAAATAGGTGGGGCTGCAAGTGAGACAAAGCTCACTGTGGTCCCACACATGCTTCACTTAAAAAACACAGATCTGAAGATAAAATGAAGACTTTGAAGATGGCAACCACAAGCATTAAACTCTAAGCCCAAGCTCTTCTAAGCATGGACACTGTGGAAAAATGATACACAACCTAAGGCTGGCTCCTTATTGGGAGACCCTGAGCCAGCCAGGCTGGACTCATTCCTGGTTCTGCCCCTTATCAGATAGTGAACCTGGGGCAGGTCACTTTAGGCTCCTGAGCCTCAGTTTCCTCATCTCTACAATGGGCATGACAGTAATATTTTCCTCATAAAGTTATAAGGATTGCACGATTTAAAATGTTCAAGTGCTTAGAACAGCATCCCTTGTAAGGACGTACATATGTGTTAACTGTTGTTAATGATTTTGTCCTGATTTGGGAACCATCCATGATTCCTTCAACATTTGGTTTGTCACCCATTGTGTTTTCCACTGTGGTCCAAGTTACTCTTGAAGATACATAACAGGAGAGGACAAAAATCCTCAAAATTGGCTTCAATTTATGACTAAGTTCCCAGGCAAAAATCTTTGAAGCTGCTGAGCATTTGGGCTGCTCCCCCTGTGTTTCCAGCTTTCCCTGTACTTAACTGCCTTTCTCCCTCCTGTGCTTAACTTGTTTACCCTTTTCTCCTCTTTTGGTGCCACTTCATCCCTGACCCTCTGATTACAGTCACGTGCCACATAATGCTGTTTTAGTCAATGATGGACTGCATGTACAACGGTGGTCCCCTAAGATTAAAACGGAGCCGAAACATTCCCATCACTTAGTGATGTTCTAACATCACAGCGCAAATGTATTATGTGTTTGAGCTGATGCTGGTGCAAATAAACCTACTGCACTACCAGTCATATAAAAACACAGGATTTATATACAATGCATAATACTTCATAATGACAATGAATGACTATGTGACTGGTTTACTATATATATTTTTATTGTTATTTTACAGTGTACTCTTTCTACTTATTAAAAAAGTCTTCTGTAAACCCCTATGCCGTTTTATGGTGGCAGCAGCCTCATACATCTCCTGTTTACCTGTCTCTTGATCACATCATGTTCTCTTGTGCCTGACTTAATGTCATGCTGTTCTGTAGGGTAACAGGCTGCGCGGGCCTGTAGCCCAGTGGCAACAGGCCATCCCATATGGCCTAGCTGTGTCATAGGCTAGACCATCTAGGTTTGTGTAACTGCCCTCTAGGAGGTTTGAACAAGAACAGAACCACCGACAATGCATTTCTCAGCATGAATCCCAGTCTTTCAGGGGCACAAGACTATACTCAAATGTCCCTCCTCCACAGGGCCCTGTTCCCGCCCCTCTCTACCACCAAACTCTTTGACCTACGGGACCAGGATCAACAGATGGCAGCTCTGAGGCCTCAGGCTGGTGATCCTCTTACAGGGCCCTTCTCCCACGGCCTGGCATCCCTTCCAGCAAAGAATAGGACTCATCACGTGTTTAGCTTTTCTACAGGCCAAGCTTCCAGCTTGCCTTGGCACACACCGACTGGGTAAAAATTTCCTGCATACCTACTTCATTATGCATTAATTATTTAGAGTTATAAAATGGGAATAATAATGGTACTTCCCTCGCTGGGTGGTTTTAGGGGTTTAACTGAGTTAAGGTATGTCAACTATTTACAATAGTACTTGGCATGTGTAACTACTCTATGAATGTTTGCCGGGTAAAGACACACAGAACTGCTGCCTCACGTGCCAGGCCAGAAGCCTACGTGTGCTCTGTCACCTCAAGCACAAGTTAAGGGACAGCCCTCCTTCCCGCCAGTCCCTCAGCCCCAAGCCTACCTTGCGTTTCCTCTTGGATTTAGGCAAAGCCTTTTCTGAGGGTGTGTCGGAGGGGTGGCTTGGAGGTGCACTCTCAGCGTCCTTAGCCGCAGGAGTGCTTAAGACCCCAGGCTCCTGGGGCAAGTGTTCTGGGATCCTGGACAGGAGGGTCAGGTCAATTTTGACCCAGAGAGACCTGACCTCATCACTATCCTTCAGGGGGGAGAGAAGTTCGTTGCGGCCAAAGGGGACCAGTGTGTAGAACTGCTCCTCCAGCTCCTTGGCGATGTCACTGGTGGTCCTGGCATTGATGGAGCCTACAGGTGCACGGGGGCCACCACCACTGCTGATGCTGCTGGCGGCCTCCTTGAGCCTCTGGTCACTCGCAGAGGCAGCAACGGCAGCAGAAGCAGTGGCAGAGGCAGAGGCAGAGGCAGCGGCCACAGCCTGTGCTTTGGCCAGAGGGTACTCGTCCTGCTCTGACTCCAGGTCGGAGTCTGAGGAGGAGGATGAAGATGATGACTCTGTCTCGATGAACTCCTTGGACTTGGGGACGATCCTACTCAAGCCCCTCGTGCGGCGCTTCTCGCAGGTGACCGAGGTGCGCAGCTCCTTGCGGTGGCTTGTCCTGCTGTTGCCACAGGGCCTGGCTTTGGTAGGCTCCGGAGCGACTGCTGCGCTTGCCCCCAGCGCCTCCGCGGGCTCCTCCTGACGTTGGAGGTTAGCACTATCGCCAGCTGAGGTCCTTTCCGTGCGCCTGGGGGGCTTCTTGCTGGCAGACCTCCGCGTGGGCGCAGGCACACTCTCCGGGGACACACCGGGAACTGTGGGCGGTGGGGCGGCGGCAGTCACGGCCACGGCCACAGCCGCGGGCGGGGACTTCTGCTTCACCCCCTTAGTCCCTGGGGCCTTGTTGGCTGTCCTTGGCCTCTGCTCTTCCCTGCAGGCGCTCTTGATGTCCTTCTCTCTCAGGCTGGTTTGGCAACCATCGGGGAGTTTCCCGCAGTCCTGCACTTGGTCTTTCCCTGGGGCGTAGTACTGATTGCTCTCCAGGCTGTGGCTTTCATTTTGGATCAGAATAGGAGGCTTGTGGGGATTAACTTTGTTCAGCCATTTATCCAGCTGCCACTTGTTAGAGGACGCAGGCTCAGCCTAAGAACAGAAAACAGGCAACAAACAAAACATTATTACAGACTCAAAAGGGGCCTGGCTGTGTTTACCTTCACTTATTCCTCTAGGAGTATGAGCAGAAAGCCCATGGGAAGCACAAGGAACTTGGGCCCAGGAGTAAGTGTGGCAGCTCTCTGGGACACAGGATGCAGGATGGTGTCCCTTTCCTGTCCCAGGTCACTTACATGTCAGTGCAATACTTTGAAACCAATTAGGAAAAATTCAGAGATAACACCATACTTCATTAGAACCCATTTTCAGCATCTTTCAGTGTTATACAATGTATATATTTTATAATTATATATATATACATAAACGAGATTCCAAAAGTTAACTGGGTAATAATGTGGGGGCCCTGTTAAAGCACTCATTTTTGGGGTAAGACTTACAATTTGGGGGGAAATTCAAAGAGGGAGCTAAATGGAGCCTATAGTCCCAAAGAATTAGCATATGGTTCTTGTGGTGAAGGCAAGTAGGGCATAGTTATAAACTTGCAGAAGCAGTGACTTTGAGAAGATGGCTTGTTCAGTAGTGTGGAGCTTCCACTTACCAGGAGACCTATGTGAGCCCCATGTGCTCTGGCAGCTGGACTTGGTCAGCCCGTCCTCAGCCTGCTTCTACGCCACTTTGCCGGGAATGTTTCAGACATGAAAGTGACGATGAAAGTTTTTAGCTGCAAGCAGGTTTGCTAACCTAAAGCACATCATAGGTTTTAAACTCTGCCCCATGGATTGGTTCCAAAGGGTCAAGAATGCCCCTTAACAGAATGTGAAATGTTTCATAGATGCCTCTTTCCAGGAGAAGGCCATAGTTCTCTGTCTCATAAAAAGGTTAAGAACTGAGTAAATGCTTGATTGGTTGATTGTTAATAAAAGCCCATTTATCCATCATCTGTGGTTATGAATAGAAAATAGGTATATCAATAAGTATAGAATGCTAGCCAGAGTGTTTGCAATTTGTGACTATATGTGAAATGTGGAAAGTGTTCTGAGTGATGAAGGTGATGCATTTTTCCTTCCTGACAGCCTCCCGCCCTCTGATCACAGCATCCACTGTTTCAGGAGAGACGACATAGCAGCTGGGAGTAAAGAAGACGTTGCTTAGCTTTGCATTTCGAACATGACTGGATCAAGTCCAGAGCAAGTCAGGCTCCCTTGTAGGAGAAAAACATTTTTTTTATACAATAATTTCAAAAGCTTGTTTTTATGTATCAAGATTTATTTTCCAATACTGAAGTCCATATTAAGAGCAGAATTTGGGACAAAACCCTATGAGGGGAGTGAGCAGACACAAGGGTCCTGGCTGAGTGTGGAGGGGTCTGTGGGGCAAAGCTCAGGACGATGAGAAGTCTCTGATGGGCCAGAGGGGCCTGGGGCCAAGACAGAGAGGGCACAGAGTATGGGAACCTCACACTACAGCCATGGCAGGGACCATGGACATCGGCTAGTTCTTCCAAAACAGATGAGACCAATTGCACTTCAGGGAACTCCAGCACGGGGTGTCCAGTGACTGGGAAGAGCAAGTGACATTTTAGCGGACTGCAGCATGAGGATCCAAGGCCCTTGCCCAGGGCCTGTCAGATGGAGAGACTGCTCTCTGGGATACAGGTATGGGACGAGACACCCCCATGGCCCTGCGGGGGAGTCTGGTCTTTGACTTGACTTTTTGCTTTGTTTTCATGCACCAAAAGCACCAGGGCTCCAGAGCAAGATACAAAAGAACGAAAAGATCTTTTTGGCACCCCTGAGTTGTTGAATGCAAATTCTGACCTCACTTTATTTTGGCTTCTCTGGAGAAAAGGAACATATGAATTGTACAGAGCACATCTCGTACATACTACAGCAGTAGAGGCATGCAATGGAGAAGGCAGGACACAGAACAGCTTCTTTGTCAAGGGGAAGCTCTCACCTTCCCCAAGGTAGCTGAGTGTGGCTGAAAGCTAATTTGGTGGTAAACAATTTATGGCTTCTGTTACTGTCTCCTCCTACTCCCATTTCTTTCATTATGTGACCACTGACAGGTCAGTGACTTGTGTGCTTCAGCTTCCCTAGACAAATGGGGCACAGTAAATAGAAATGGAGCCTGATGGGGGCCTCTTGCAGAAAAGGGACACATTGGCAGGGGGAGAAAATAGGGCAGAGCACGCCCTCACTCTGGCCCTGCCTCCAAGTTTAACACTGCCTCCCCTCCACCACCATCCTGAACCTTCCCCAGCTCACACCTCTGATGATTGCCTATAGTCAAACCACAGCTGCACACAGGGATTCTAACTGAGACTTACTGGTGGGAGCATTAACAGCAAAGGGGAGAATTTAATAAATTTAGTATGGTGCCCACTGCCTGATGTGCTTTCGGGCCTTTTCCCCCCACTTTCAGAACTGAAGAATCAGTCTAAAGTATGAGTTTCAACACATTCCTAAATCATACTTCCTTTCTCAAGGCTCTACAGTGACCTCCTATTGCCTCTCAAATGAAATCCAAATTCCTGAGCTGGTGTTCAAGGGCATCCATCACCTTATGGTCATCTTCTCTTGCTGCAACACCTGCAATGTACCTCTCCCTTCACGTATGCCATCTAACTTAACCCATATAGAGAAGAAATAGTATCATCCCTAATTTGTAGATGAGAATGAGAGGTTAAGCGACATGTCCAAAGCTGCAGAGCTATCAGGCACCACCGAGACTAAACCTGTATTTGTCTAGGTTTAAAGATCAGGTTCTCTCCCCTGTTGCTTGGCCTAACCTCCATTACTGTCTGGTGTAGCTTCCAGAAAGGTGGACCTCGTTCCCTAGAGAAATGTTGGTCTTCAACCTGAAATAATAGAATTTAGTTCGATTTTTGGAAAATACTACTAACTCTCCAAACAGTAACTGTGTCTTCTATTTCTAAACAAACTTTTCTAAAAAAAAAAACAAAACCCTTACCCAAGGCTATTACCTATTTGAAAGAGGGAGAAAAACACTGATCGGTTGCCTCCCATACTCACCCTGACCAGGGATTGAACCCGTGACCTAGGTGTATGCCCTGACTGGGGATGGAACCTGCTACCTTTTTCGGTGTACAGAACAATGCTCCAACTAACTGAGCTGCCCGGCCAGAGCAACTACATAGCCTTTTGATGTTCATATTCATTTCATGTGTATACGTTGTATTTTTAACAAGCCAAACACTTCTTTCAGGCTTGAGCTGGGTTTCTGTTTCTTTGTGTCCCTTGCAGAGTCTAATAGGTTAGGGAGGCAGACTGCTATGACTCTGCTCCTAAGAACAACTCACAGTGGGCTGTCACTCAATTATATAGTTTATTCCTCAGAACAACCTCACAGATTAGGCAGCACAGGAATGTCTGCCGCTTTTTGGGGGCAAATGTGGCCAAGGAAGCTTAACTGTGAGTGGCAGTGAAGGGGGAAACTCAGTGCTTGGGACTCTCCTATTCTGACACACTGCTGGTATGGCTGACTTCCTGAGCTATCCATCAGGGCTTCTGCCCAGCATTTTGTTACTTGCTCGCTGCTTTATATTTTCAGCCACTAGTCTCCTCCTTGATTAATCTGCACTCTGACTCATGTATAAGCCCCGCACTAAGTACCCTAGTCCCTGCTTTATCTACATCCCTCACAGTACCCACTGCCATGTACCTCACAGATGCCTAGTTAAGGGGAAGCTTATTCACTCAATGAATAACTTGCACCACATTTCACTGATTTTCAAGAACAATCTAGGGCAGCATTTGCAAAATGTGCTTTTAGTTCATATAGTCCACAAGAAAGATTTCCATGGTCAGGTAAGTTTGGGAAATGTACAAGGGGAAGCACAGTTTACTTGAGCAATTTTATGGGCTGGGTGAAGCCTTCCAGTAAAGAGATGGGTTAAACCTACTTAATCCTGGTCCTTCTCAAAATCACACGGCACAGGTCTGAGGAAGCTCTGTGTGCTGGTGCACATGTGCTTGCTGCGGGGAAGGCAGTTTCCCCTGCAAAGCTCTGACGCGAAAGGATGTGCCAGGCCAGGAAAGAAGATGAAACTCACGTGAAAACAATTAGACTGATAAAACATCAGGCCACAGGGAGAGGATCTGCGAGATGAAAACAGTGTTTGCAGTGGCTCCTCTGTGCTTGGCGGGCAGACAAGGCATTCCACTACAGCGACTCGCACAGAAGGCAGTGGCTGTCCACAACCACTGCCTGTGTCCACAGCCGGGAAGGGCAGTTCGGGTGAAACTCAGTGGAGCTCCACAGGTTTCTGGTGCTGGCATGGTGAGTGGGAGAACACAGGGTCCTTGAAACACCACGAGGGCCTCCTCCTACTCCCCTACGTCAGGATGTTACCGGGAGGGAAGAGGAGGGTCGGAAACCTTTTGCTTCTAAGCAGCATAAACTAGTGAAATGTGAGGTGTGTGGCTGCACAGAGCTCCCTTGTCATGTGGGGTTCAGGAAAACGGGCCTCACGGCTCTCTGTAAAGTGGCCTGGGCCAGCTCAGTCAGAGGGACAGTGACACCGGGGATGGCCAGTCCCATTATGCTACTTCCTTTCTTTGCAATTTTCATTCTGCAAATTCACTTTATTTCCAAAGGGAATGTGTCTGTATTAATCTTGGGAAAATGTTAAAAGAAAACTTACTTTTATCCCAACTAAGACATTCCTTTTCAGCAGAAAGAAGTAACTTGCAGGGAGGCTAACACCTCACTTGCCCCTTCTGCATTCTCTCTGCATAGAGAAGCAAGAAAGTGAAAACTCTATGTGGCCTCAGGCAACTTGAACTTCTAGGCCTGCTTCAGTAGAGCTCCCTCTCCTTAGCTAGGGGCCTCTAATAGTTGCTGCAAGAAATGACAAAAGCTTCCTTTTACCACCAGGAGTTCAAGTCTTTGTAATGATCTCAGGAACATTTAGAAAGGAGTTGGTTAAAGCATCTTATAACTGTACCTCTTAGGTTAGGTTTCATACTTCATTTGAGGTATGAAAATAAGACTCAACTGGTCATGAATTTAACCTTCAAAGTCACAGAGAAGAACCTGGATAGGGGGTCTTCACAGGCACTGACACTTTTTATCCACATCTACTGACCTCCTTGGCTTTGAAAACATCCCTGAAGCCTGATTATTTCTTATAACTGATACTACTCTGGAGTTTCTCAACAAATTACAGTACAAAGTTGACTTTGAAAAAGACCGTTTAAACTCCTTTGTTTTATTGAACTCTTGTGGTTTTTTTTTGTTTCAAATTATTCCCATTATTATGCCAGCTCTAGGAAGACAGGGATGTCGGATAATTGCTGTATCCTAGAGCCAAGCCCCAGGTCTGCAGCAGATGCTTGATAAATATTTGTTGAATGAATACCAAATAAGTGAATAAGTGAATGAATGAATGAATCAAATTATAAAGAAGGAATAATAATTTAGTTTCTGGGAAAAGTCAGGGTTATATCAACCTGTGGTTTTTATAGGTTAATGTTGCTAGGAGACTTCCCCCTATATGGGGTGCAGGGTACAGAGGAGGGTGATAGAGAGGGAGGGAGGGAGACAGAGAGAGACAGACAGACAGGAGGTGAACCCTGTGGAAAAGGGAGACAGGTACAGGAGAGATGGCTCATTTCGGGATGAATGGAGACCACCCGGAATGAGCAGAAAGGTGCTGGAGAAGGAAGGAGGGGTGTGGGGAATACTACTCCCCTGGGTTTCTTAGTGCCCCTGCAAAAAGCCCAGCCTCCTGAAGGGACACTGGGGAAAATCCTGAGGGAATCTAAGGGCCACTCTATGGACTTCAGATAAAACCGTGGTGGCTTTCCAGTGTCCTACGGCACAGGCGCGAAAGCTGGAAATAGGTGCTGTGCTGCCCTTTAGGTGTGTCCCTCTCACTGCCGTGCTTTGCATGAGTAGCTTTGGTTTTATTTCAGAGCCTCCTAAGGAATTTGGGCCCCAAAGTGATACATAGGGTTGTTAGGTGAAAAATTAAATCCTACGATCCATGTTAATGTCAACTGTTTCTACGCTCAAGAAGAAACTGTTTTTACTCCTTCTCTAGAATTCAAAATTGACCCTTACAGAACCACGGACTTGAGAAATTTGCTGTTAACCACTCACCCAAGAACCTACATGCTCTGAAATACTATTTAATTCTCTCCTTTCCCCTTTAAGGTGGAAAATGCAATGTTTTTATTGGTACTTTACAATGTTTTTATATGAGGCATCTAAATCTCCCACATAGGTACTCACGTAGCTACAAAAGGTTTCATTGTTATTTGTTGGTTGATGCTAATTTTCCTTTTTTTTTGTATTTTCACGAAGAAAACACAGTTAAGGAGGTTTTATTAATATTTACAGCTCTTGTTCTTCTAATCCATGATAAACTGCAAAAAATGTAAGGTCTTACCATGTCTAATCCATAAAACTCCTCCATGACTTACGGACGGCCACACTGCGCACAGTAAACTGCCATGGTGGTTACTGCCTTGCTGACCCTTAGGGAGACCTGACCACAGGGGTGTTTCTAGTCAGTGAGAGTTACAGAAATTTCTGGAAATCGAGATGGAGATTTTTGGACAATGAAAGATGAAGTTTCTGTGCTTCCAAGGAAGCTCTGTCATAAAGAGGACTGAGAAGGGGAGAGAGTAGAGAAAATGATGACCCCACACAAACCCTGACGGGCTGCCAGAGGTGGCGGCCTTAGGGTCTTGGCTGTTACAGCCCACAGGTGGGGGGTGGGTGGGGTCAGACGCAGTGTACCCGACAGACAGATTCAGCTCCTGGGGCTCAGGGCCATGGCAGGTCTTACCTCAGGGCTGGAGCAGTGGGCCGGCTTGCTGCCTTCACTCTCACTGGAACTGCTCTCTGTCTCAGAGTCAGAGCCGGAGCTGCTCTCTGAGTCGCTGGACGAACTGCTGCCGCTGCTGCTGCTGCTGCTGCTGCTGCTGCCCTTGCTGGAAGGCACGGAGGCTCTGCAGCCGGCCTGCTGGACCGAGGCACTGCCAGCCCACGGGGCCGGAGGAAAGGGGAGGAAAGCCAAGTAAGCAAACACAAAACACCACCGAGCAAGCTGTCATCCCACCAAAAGCGAGGGAAGGCACAGACCACACATCTGTCCACCGTCACTTGGCACTTGAAGAGCAATCAAGGTCAAAGGCATCCTAATGCTTAAAACAACATTACATATATGTAAATAAGACTAGGGCTAAAAGCTGGCACCCCTTGATAGTCTGGCATGTTATCTGTGTGGCCATTTTAGAAGGGAAGGCAATGTAATTCCAGAATGACTGTGTCTATACTGTTGCTGCTGCTTCTGAGAACGCCTTTTCAAATGCACCCCCGGATCTAATCATCTACAAAAATGCAAGGATATCCAAAATGCTTGAAATGATTTGTAAACACTGAAAATGTCTTTTGCTTTATTTTAGGACATGGGCTGTGAAGAAGGGAACAGTATTCTGCTCTGTGCTCTCAGGGGCTACTGGAAGGTCCCGTGGCCGTGGGACCAGCAGTCGTATAGCCCTATCTGCTTCCCCGCCCACAGACCGAGTGCAGTCGTCTCTACAGGAGCTGGCTTTTGCTGAATAAACAATAATTTCCCTTTGAGCCTTATATTGAAGAACTGGAGATCCACCACTTACATGTCTTTATATATTCCCAGAATTTAAAATGCAATCCCAGTAAAGTGGCTAGCTTATGGCAATAACATTTCACTTGATCTCAGCCAAAAGGCCGAGAAGCGATGGCAATAGCATTTCAACATCCTTTATGTTCACGTTCATGCTGAAATTTGCTGGGAAGTTATATATTCAAATTACACACTCAAAAAGAACAGGAAAAACTGGCATTTTTCTAATGGTAATTAATTAACCACAGAAATTCAAAGAGCAGACAGTTATCCAAAGAGTGTTTGAGCCAAGAAGAAAGTTCTGGTACTCACATAATATTCAACATCTTCAAAGTCTGCATCGATTGAAAAACATCTAAATCTGTTCTTTTGAGATCATATTCTAAACCCAGATGCAGTAATTACCTCTTTTATGTTGAGCGTGCAAATATTTGCTTGCTTCTTCCAACTGTGACCACTGCTTCAGTAGGACTGGACATTAGGGAAAGGCCAGGAACCAGAAAGCTTGTCAGGTTTAGGGTCTTAAGTGCAGTCCAGCCTGGACAAGGTAAAGGACCCTTTCCACTGGCCCCTTAAATCTCTGACAAATGTCCTGCCCAAAGACAGAATCTTATAAATACTTAGTGTGGGAGCACTGAGGTGGGTGCTGAGGGGTTAATGCTCATTGGAAACTAGCTCCAAGAAGCATGATAAGACAAAGAACTGTCTTGCAGGATATATCTGAAAATAAAAGCACCTTCTGAATGGAAGGGTTAGGGAAAGAGAGAACTGGAACATAACCTTCCCTAGTAGTTTTTAGTTCTCCCACCAATGTCACAATCCACACCTGTGGTCTGACAAAATTCTTCAATGTCAGACCACATCTGCCTGCTTGGGCTTTGCCTGAGCTGCAGTGATTTCTTTTGAAGCCTCTCATTTGTGTCTGGTGTTGAGTGAGAAGTCCTGGCTCTTTAGATAGAGGCGGGGAAGGAAAGGTTAGTGATCAGAGGCCTGTAATACTGCTTTCTTCTCTAAAAGAAAGCAGTAAAGGAACTAAAATCCACCTTTTCCGTGGACAAAGTTGAGATGGCTATTATCAACAGACCCATTTAAAAACAACAAAAAAAGGACTATTGGGCTCTGACCAAACACGAACACTTGTAATCCATGTTAACAGTTTGTCAGGAGGCCCCAAAACACTGGAGGAAAAAAAATCCAGAATTCAAACACCTCCCCCCATTAATGAAACCAAACCCAAATCAACAAACCCTCAAAAGCGAAGCAACACATGGTGGAGGAAAGATGTCCCCCTGTCACACTTCAGATGACATTTGCTGAAGACTGGGAAACTGAGATGAACAAAGAGCATTTTGATTGGTTTTATATGCTGGTACATTCTACCAGCTTTAATTCAAACAACAAAGGCATGTGATGGGGTACTATGTGTGCCTGGGCGGCACGTGTGCTGCAGAAGCAGCGAAGTGTCTGGAGTTCCCTGGAGCCTGCACCGCAAAGCGACCGACTGTCTTTTGAAAAGCAGCACTTTGATTTCTGGGAAAACGTCCATTAAGCAGTAACTGGGCTGCCGTCCTTTTATCACTGCTGTTTCTACAGGCATGAGACACACTCACCCGAGGAGAAGGGATCTCTGATCTGAATTAGACTGGCAGAAAACCCTTATACTTTCATGTTTTCCCTCCTTAAATTAGGAAATTCACTTAAAAAGAGCATACCTATTATTTGTTTTCAAAACAGTTCAGAGAGCCTAGTATTTAGGGTTTTCTTCATGCTTTGCTTTAAGGGCTGTGCGGATTACAATGGGTCTGGGGTCAGGACTGAATACATTTGTGCTTCAGCGGTCTGAGTAGAGAATATGTCGCCAGAAAGGATCATGCTAAGGGTGGGAGCCTGAAGAGCTCTCGTGCCCCAGTTCTGGGATCTAGAGAACTACCCCATCTCTGTGCAGGCTGCTGCAGGAACCAGTCTTTGTGCGGGTCCTTGGGGCTGAGTGCTCCCGTCATGAGGGCATGAAGCTGCCCTGCCTTCGCTGCAGCGGCTGCGGCAGGGACGGGGGCAGAGAGAGACTAGGAAGTCAGACGGGACGGTCATCGCTGCAGACTAGTACTAACACAAGGAGGGCTCTTTGGAGACACAGAATCAGGAAGATGGGAAAATACGTACTGGAAAGACCTTCCTGAAAGAAGACCAGGCCATATATATTTAAAATTTTAGGATGCTAACTAGTTGTCGTGTTTACATACCAAAAATATTTTTTTAAACTAACTAAAAATAAAAAAATTTTTTTTCCCCTGAAACTACAGCAGGTTGGTTGACATGACGACGCAGCCTCAGACAATTTTCACAAGAGCTCCTGGACCCTGTGCCACTCCAGAGACACACTGTCATGGAGCGTGCCGACAGGGGACATCAGCGAGACCGCAGAGTCACTCTTGGTGTCACCCAGCCTAGCATGCACACAGTGGGTGTCAGTGTGACGACCCAATAAAAAAATCAATAGGAAAAAATCTGCCACAAAATTAAATAAAAAGGAAAAAAATCCATCACTGGTTTAATAAGTTTCTTTACAGCATTTAAACTTTCAAAAAGGTCACAATTTCTCTTTTCCAATAAAAAAATATTTAAGAGCATTTCAGCACCTCTTGTGCTCTTCCAATTTTAACACTTTTTTCTTTCAGAGACCATTTCTTTAAATGTACTCTAAATTCATATGCTATGATATAAGCTCAGTTCTCTCTTGGGTGGTTTATTTAATTTTTGTCTTCCTGTTTTTTTGAGGGTCCTGGCTTTGTTCTTAGCTGATCTGCTTGCTATGTACCTTCCTTTGGCTGTAGTGACACATTCCTTGCAGAATTTGGCCTGGGCTAAGTCTGAACACAGACAGTAAAAGACAAGACCTGGAAACTAAGTAACAAATCCTGGATCTCACAGTCAAGGGTGTTTCTCCTGCCAAGTGTATTGTGGGGTCTGGATAAATATCTGCAGTTGTCCATAAGCTTTCAACCAACAAGTAATCGGGAAGCAGGCGCTCTGCCTGGTTGGCACTGTGTGGATGCTATGATGCCCAGCGTGGTGTCTTGCACCCTGTGGGCACCCACATCTTGGCTGAATAATAATATTACAGAAGAGGCTATAGCACCTTCTCACTCAGCACTCAGTATGAACTCAACAAATGCTTGCCAAACTGTAATCAGTCCTCTGGCAACAGTATTCCTGCATTGAAAGCATCTTTATTGATAGTAATTGATCTAAAACTATAATCACATTATGAGAAATGAAAATGGTAAAAGCTGGCACAAGAGGGCTCACATTGCTAGAATTATCTTCCAAAAAAACTGAAACTGAAAGGACCACTGGACCTGCATTAAAATACTTTTCCTCCTGCATTATCAACAGGAACAATTCTTCTGTTAAAATGTGGCTTTTGAAGCCCTTCATGGTCTCGTCTCAATCAGACCTCCAGCTTCACTTCAATGAGTCCATCCCTAAACCTCAGCCATAATAATTTTCCACCATTTGAACAATCTGTGTTTACAGCTGCATGCCTTTGCACATGCCATTTTCTGGTTCTCTCCTCTCGCCCTACACCGAGTTATAAAGTAGGGTAAAAAACTTTACCCTACTGTGTAAAGTTTTCCTGAATTTCCCCAGGCATGATGGGTGTTTCCTCCCCCGAACCCCTACAGCACACTGCCCATTTCCCTACTTCAGCCCTTACCACATTAAGGATAGGAATTATCTAAATTATACTTGTATCCCAAAAGCTAGTGGTCAGTCTGACATAAATAGATTCTCAACGAATATCCCCAAAGCTAGTAAACAGTCTGACATAAATAGATTCTCAACTAATACTGACTTAATAAAATAATGATTCTTGATGCAGTGTGTAAAACTGATTCTTGATATAATGTATTTTATTATACTTTCAAGTAGCCCATGAGATATTCACATATACACATGTGTATTTTTTTCTGTTGCTTTTGGGCTGTCTAGGATTTCATAAAACTGATTATCTTTAGAAATCTACCATCTGTATTACAGGTTACAAATCGAAAACCTACAGGGGACGGGCAAGTAGTATAAATGAGTAAGTGTCCAGGTGTATGTAAGGGAAACAAATGCGTAACACATGACGATAAATGAGACTAAACCCTTAGCTCCCTGGCAGGGAAGGTGTCAAACTGGAGAGCCCAGTCTGGTCTAAGGCTGCTCCTTATGCCAGCATTTCTGTGCCAGGTGGAAGTGAGAGACCAGTGTTACCAAATCTTTTGATCTTTCAGGGAAAGCCCCAAATCCTGATGTTTATATCAAATCTCCTGATTTAAAATGCTAGTAACTAATCTAAAAAGTTCCAACGACGAAAAGTTCTATTGT